TGCTGGCCCTGCATCACACCCCAGGACCGGGGGAACCTCCATCTGCAGAGGGGACAGAGCAGGTCCCCACCTCAGCAAGGCTCACAGGAGCAATACAAGTAGCTGGTAGTGATGCAACAAATGCTACAAAGCAATTTCTTCGTTGGGCTCGTGTTAGTGAAAGGACACAGAGAAGGGAACTGCCCTAAAGCATGTGGCTCAAATAGTTTCAGATTTACTGGTGAAAATAATGAAAGGCTGACCTGAGGCTTCAATGCTCATCTCTGCATGTGGAGGCAGCGCTGTGAAATCAAGGAATTGAAATAATACAGGAGCACAAGTCTGTTCATACCAGTGGAAGGTGCAAGCACATGCCCAGCATCTTTAAACTGATAAAACTGTGATTTTTTTTTTTTTAATATATTTGGGGGTTTTTTAAACAATAGAAGGGGAAATTTGAAAAGCACTTAAACACAGTGAATTTTCCCAGATATCATCCTTAGTTCAGATCTTTTGCCATTGCTTCACTGCTCAGGTAACACAAGATAACAAACATTTTCTGCTAACCTGCACTGCCAAAACCAGACCATTTTAGGTTTTTTAACAGGGACAGTCTTAAAGAAGCTGGATTTTTGTAAGACCAAGGCTTTGGTTTAAAAACAAACAAAGAGGCTAGAACTACAGTGGTAACACCTAGTAATACACTAAACATCAACACCAATTATACTATCACAGCAAATGACAGACACAGAAGCGTAACAGGTTTCAAACCAACCCCTCCAAATGATCATTTATAAATTGTTCCTACAGAGTGAAAATCACATACGCGCTGTTTCAACTTCAGAAAGATTTCTATTTTAAGGAGCAGCAGCATATTTCAGAAAGATGTGACAAATGTGTTACTCACTCAGCTCTGTGAGGACCTACTTTATTATTCCAACAGCACAGATCTGTCCCACGGTGGTCTTTTAGTACATTCCTCCAAGCTGGTTATGGCTGTGAGTGCAACTATCATGGGGTCACAAGCCTCAGTAGTTTCAGACATACTATTTTTAACTCAAACTACCAGAAAAATCTTTTTTTTTTTTTTTTCCTCTAAACACACAGATTGACAGATGCATGCCCCCAGTCACAGCATAGTGATGGTGATTGGAATACATAGCAGGGCAAAAAAAGTAGGCTTGGAGTACATTATAACCGGTGGTCTTTCAACCCCATGTTTACAGGTTTCATAGCATCCTCCTGACTCTCAGAAAGACTCAATGATTCCACCGTTAGTCCTGGAAGGAGCTAAAATAATCGGAGTGTCAATGGGCAAAGCCTTTAACATACACAAAGCTCTTCAGGTTGTTCTTGATTCCATAGAGGTTAGATTTACAACAGCTAAGCACCCTTTTTAAAAGCAGAGATAGAAAAAAAAAAAATCTTTTTTTAAAGCACACTGATGTTTGTCTGCAACATACTTGATGGGCAAAGAGCATGGGAGGCAAAGCTTGATTCTCACTTCGCATGCATTTTTCCTGTGATTTAGGAACCACGCTCCAGGTTCCCAGAGGGGCTTTGCTTTCCATAGTCTCCTTTGATGATGCAATATTTGATGATCTTCAAAGTTAAAATTACCTACAAACACAAGAAGTTACAGAAGCTGTTTAGCTCCCTCCCAAGACTCTGCAGCCTTAGCCCTGCCTGATTAACTCTTTGTGATACACAGCCCAGTTAAAACCTCCACTTGCCAAGTCAGGGGTGTTTCGAATCCATCCACACAACCTTCATCGTCACTGATGCGTAGGAAGTGTGTGTTTGCCTGGGACAGGAATAAGCTTTCACAGACAAAATGCATTTTCCCCATTACAGTTAGCCTGATTGCATTCAACATGGTCACCTACGGAGAACAACCAGTTCATACACCTGCTCCTCACCACGCAGCTAAACCTCTGAATGAGTGCAGAGGCTCACCACCTGACGTCTTGTCTGCTCTGTAACTTGAGGATTACCTTAATTAGTTTTCCTCCCACTCCACCCAAGTCAAGCACAAACAAGACAACATCGTTTGCAGAACTCCAAATCTGCCAAAGGATAAAACCCCATGTCCTTGCAAAGCAAAATCCAGTCTCAGAAACTCAAGTTTCATTATTTTAATGCATTTTTATTGATACAAACTGCAGTTTCACCAGGAAGATTCATGCTTTGGGCAAGTGGTTCATTCTTTTTCGTTCTGTGTTTTCCCCAATGAGTAGGAAGCACATTTTTTAAATTCCAATCATTCATACACACATCAAGGACATACATAAGCCTGAGATGGCTCATCATCATATACCTGGAAAGAGGAATCAGCCATTTCCCATGGCAAATTTTGTTCTCACCTGCATGAAACAAGCAGGAGAGCTAAGATTTAGATGAGGTAGCCCAGCATCACAGACAGTCCCTCGGTAGCATACAGAGATGTGTATATACATTTCAAGATGAAACCTGAATGCTTAAGGTAAATAAGACCTTCAGTTTCAACTACTCAAAGAGAAAAAAAAAGTAAAAAGGAAGAACAATTAAAAATAACAGCAAGCCAGTCACCTAATTCATAATCCGGTCCAAGCAGTAAGAACCTGATCCAAAGTGCACTAGAATCAGTCCTGCAGGCAGAAACTGAATGGAATAGCAAAATTTAAAAAGAAAAACCCAAAACTCAACAAACCCCAACCCACAAAACACTGAACAATTTGGTTTTAAATGCAATTTCTCCAAATTCAAAGTGGCAGGGGTTTTCCGTTTAAGTTCCATTAAAGACAACGTTTTCCTGCTTATGAAAGGAGGTGGGGAAAAAAAAAGGAAGAAAGAACATTTAGATCACTTATTCTGACTCCATACAAAGAAGCTGTTTCCTGAGACAGTAAGTTCACTAACAGGGGAGAGAGAGGAGACACAAGCTGGTTACAGGATATTACTGTATGCAGTGGCTGTTCATTTGGACCATTCACAGCCCATTGCATGAATATCCTGACAAGATACAAGAGGGAAGTGTTTTTCCTAGAGTTTGCACTCAGAGCAGCACCCTGAGCAACCAGGAGGAGCAGTTGGACCAGACTCTTGCTTTGCAGTTACAAACCATTTGTGACCCCCAAATTTATATTTACTCTTGCAGATTCCATTCCTTGCCTTGCAGTAAACCAGGATGTTACTGTACAGGAACTACCACACAAGATACAATGGTATTTCTAAAAACTGGACTGTAACTCACTTGATTAAAAAACAAGCATTTTTGTTTCAAAAAAATTCAAGGCCACCATGCCACTGTAAAATACACAAGCAAGAGACTGGAGTATATTTACAGCAGAGTATCACAAATTAGAACTATTGGAAAAGGGATTGCCAACAGGTTTCAGGCAAGTTCTACATAGCTCTTCCTTTCCTCTCATGGTTCTTCTCTGATCTTGTTCTCCGTAGTCTCTTAAGGCAGTACCTCACTCGTGGTATGAAGCATGAGAAGTTCAGATTGTGGAGTTTGAACATAAGTGCCATGTTTAACACAAGACTAGGGAACGGTGGGAACTCTATTGGAAAGAAGATCCACAGGAGTGTTTTAAAAGAAAATTTCAGTGTTGGGTTCACTTTGTTCCCAGAGGACAGGAGGAAACTGGAAACAAAAAAGGCCCCCTGGTGTCTTAGGAGAACACTCAACTATCAGGCATATCAAAGCTGAGAAAAAAAACTTTTCAACAGAATTGGAATTTTAAGTCTGGGGACAAGAAGCCTTGCCTGAGTCTTTCTGAAATGGAGTTGTCCTTTAAACTGCAAAGAATCCTTTCTGAAGAAGGGCTTCAGTGTGAATGAAGCCAAAGCTGGAAAATGAGGGGACTGCCCCAGCCATTTATTAATGTCAAATATGCTGTCTCATGAATCAGGGCAGTTTGTCTGTTTTGGAAGCCTTACAGAAAACCCAGTGCACCTGGCTTGTTGAGCTCAGCATCAGGCTTTAGGCTGATCCAAGAGGATAGCTGCATTCTGTGTTCTGAATAGTTTGTCCTGCAAACAATTTTTTTTAAAAAGGCTTTTATTGAAGAGCCATCAGCAAACAGATCATGCAGAATTTGAACAATACACAGAATGGGGGGGAGGGAGGAACCCACACAAGGCACAGCCCCAATTATTTGTCACTTCATAAGATGCAGCCAGCACAAGTGTCACATTTGCTCTTTGAGAGAATAGCTTCGAAAGCTTCCCCATTTGAAAAAGCTAAGTGTTTGTGGGGGATGCACACATATATACACACACACATGCACGCACACAATACACCCAGAGTTTTCTTTGGCAACCATCATCACAGTGGCAGATATTTCAGAATTAGGACAAACAGCAAAGGAAGAAACAAAACCCTGATGCGGATGGTGCAAGCTCAGCCAGTTATCAGCAGAGTGAGTCTGGGCCCAGCCCTGACCATTCAGTACAGCACAAAACGGAAAAGTCACCTGAGGGAGCTGCCAGAAAACTAAGAAAAAAAGAAAAATATATTTACTTCTTTCCCAGCATTGATTCCAGAGGGTAAGGGCTGCTTAGTTTCTTTATAAACAGCACAGCCACTTCCCCTGTGCCTTCACTACCTCTCCACCAGACATCGCAGGAAGATGGGATTTCTATTCCCCCATTATCTCCATGCGCCTGCCATGACAGTTTACAGCAGCTGAGGATGTCTGAAATTCAAGCCCACTGAAGGCAGCAGGAGTTTCATCACCAACAGCACTGCTACCTAATCCACTGTATAAACCAGCAGTCAGGACAATCACTGCACAGCGAGGAAGGCGTGAAGCTCAGAACAGAAACTCTTTGCCATGAAGCACAGCGTTTGAGAAGAGCAGAAGAGGAAAGCAAGCCAGAGGAGGCAGCTCGATCCATGCACTTTGACTACAGTTTATTATCTGAGGATGCCCTCCATCCATCTGCCACCTGCTTCTCTCACAGGCACAAGCAACGGTCAGCACTGCAACACGGGTGAGGAAGCAGCAGGGAAATGTTCAAGCGACCACGTGCTAAGGCCTGGGCCTATTCCCAGCGAGGCCAACAGAGCTGTTGCAGTACCACTTCAGTGGCTGTGCCTGGCCTTCTCAATCCACTGCTTCATGTAGCAGACTTCCAAGGCTCGAGCTTGCTGCACGGATTTGGGGTCCAAAGGGTGGCGGCTACGTAAGTCCAGGTGATGGGCTCCATCCGGGATCACAATTGCCACGAGGGAATCTGTGATGTTCTGGGTCACCCCACCAGCAGACCACGGGTCCAGGCCACCATTGCTGTAAGGAAAGAAGACCACATGAGGGTACACTCGCACAGCAGCGGGGCTGCAGTTCACATCAACATATCCATGTCAGCTTTCAACTAGTTTTGCATGTGTGCCGACAGAAACAGACCTCAGCCCTGTCTCAATGTCTTGTGCCCACCCCTCTGCTGAGAGGAGCCTTCTTGATAGAGATATCGAGCTATTAGCAGCTTAAGCTAGGCTACACTTCTGTCATTAATTACCTGCTAATTCAGACAACAAGCTATAATAGAGCCACAGCCTCTGGAGACCGATCTGCTGCCACCTGTCATTGTCATAAAAGGTTCATGTTCCCCTGTACCAAGACATGTCCAAATTCCTAAATAAAAGCACTTTGCTTTCCTTCTTCACAGTCTGCCATAAACTAATAACTAACTGGACCCTTTAGAGCTGAATTTTCAGGAAGTTCTACCTCTTGCTGTCTCAGCTGGGTGCCAGCCTGGTTTTGCAAAGAAATGCTCGGATTTTCCATCAGTCTCCTTATTTCTCAGAACAACCATATTAAAATAAAGATTTTACCCCTCAAAAAACTCTCTACAATGACTTTTCCTCTGGGACAGGACAATTTACTCCCCCTCCTCCCTCACCCTGAGTCAATGAAAGGATTCCTTGCCCTGCAGATCTGTCTCCAAATAATGCCTGGTCCATGGAGCAAGCCAATGGCTAAACAGGGATGAGAGTTTTGCCTCTCTCATTCCTAGCTTTGGACTTGACCAAATAATCCCTACTACATCTTATTTTCCTTTACTGCAAGGTTCTTCCCACACATGGTCCATCTTCCTGCACAAAGAAATACACTCATGAAACAACACAAATCTAGATCTCTTCCTCACTTTAAAACACTGGACACAAAAGCAAAAATTAGAGATGGACTATTGTGTGTCAGTGTAAATTTCTAGGGGGATCTAAGAAATTAAAACATCCTTGGGCATTCAGATACATGAAGCTAGAAAAATAGCACAATGGCAGCACCAAAAAATAACAGAAAGAAATAATGAGTGAAAAAGTTCTGTAGAAATAACTAAGAGTAAAAACCTGATGGGGTCTGAACTAGTACTTCATTTGTTTCTCTATTAAAAAAAAAAACCAAACCAAACAACTAAGTATCTTGAATCTCTGTAGTTCTTCATTTTCAGTGGTTCTAAATATGACTTAGGAGAAGAGAAACATTTTGTACCTGCAAAACAAAAAGCATACAGAGCTGACCAATAAGCAAAAAGCATTTGATTTAAAAGGTCGCCTGAATCAGCAGAGCACCTTGGCAACAGGGGGATGAGTTGCTGAGAGACTCAAGATGTACATGAACTTGGATCTTTTGGTCCCAGTCATGTGGAAACTAAGCATGCCACAAGAAAACAACACTGTCTCTGGCTCTTCTGGGAGCTTCTGGCTGCGTCCTCCGCGCCTCCTGCCAAATGATGGCACCAGAGGCACTGACGCAGTTTGGGAAGTGGTACTTGGTGAGAGGGGGGCGGGAGGGCTCACCACAAAATAATCATAAGTCTTAACAGTTTTACAGAATAAGGTAACTCAGTACCAACTGGAAAGGATTATTTCTGTGTTAAACTACACAGGTAAGTACTCAGTTGCCCATCTTACAGGACACGAGTTTCCCAACGTAAACAGAAGTAAAAGAAAAGAAAGAAAAAAAAAAAACCAACACCAAAGAGTCAGCCATTCCTTTCTAGCAGTGGCCAGGCAAGTAGGGCTTCAGAAAAAACCTAGGGCAAAGTATCAGCACACTAGTCCTATTTTCAGTTCATCATATTTCCTTGACAGCATAAATAGGGTCCTGCCTATTCCACAGCAGTTTCCTTTCCCATCATCTCTTCAGAGCCTCCTCAGCGCTCCAGCCCTGCCCAGAACAAGGCGAGGTTTTGCACCATCTTAAGCACATCATCCATGCGTCCTTTTTTAACATGCCCACTCTCCACAACTGCCAAGTTTCCTTCCATTAACTTTCTTCTCTCACCTTTACTCTTTAGCCAGGCACTGTTCTGCCTTCTCTCCTTTTCCTCCATTCACTTCTTTCACGCTAACAGTCCCCCTTTCTGCACACAGCTCCAGTACCTCTCAAAACAGAGCCTTCACTTTGTGTCTCCCCTGCCAGTGCAGAACTGGATAGGTGGGTGCCCCAACTCCAAAGTATACAACCTAGGAGTGATCCACCCAGATAAAAAAAATTAAAAATCAAGTTTTAGCCTGTGCACACCAAATTTTGTACTGATATAACCTGGGCTGATTTTGGCTACCATAGTATGTTGATGACGAGACACTACCAACTGCTACAAGCTCTCTGCCACCACATGCATGAGCAGTGTTAAAAAGCTGTTTCCACCACTGTGCAGCACTTCCTTGCTGAATACACAGCATGTTCCAGTAAGAGTATCAGGAGTGGAAACTGCTGGAAAAGGGCAAAGAGGGTTCTGAAAAGCCCAATTTCCTCAAACTGGTGTTATAATAAAGACGTGGTGCCCAGGACAGGTAAGTAATACCTGCCTACAGCCCAAGCAACCACCCAGGTGCTACATACCTCCAAGAAGGTGCCCAAGTGGCAACAGAGTGTGTCGATACCATACGGTACATACACCACACTGAATCTGCAGAGCGGTGAGCTGCTCACAGAGGGAGAAGCGGCAACACCAGTTTAAGCATCCTGGTCAAACCCCGCTGTGGCCAGAGAAATCCACCCTACAGCGGTTCTCTTTAGATGGAGTATTCTTCCCTTCCTGTGCTGAACTGTTGTGCAAGTTGCTTGACACTTGAAACAGTGATTTCTACCCCACAGGGAGCTGCATCCCCCGGTAAGTATACGGATATTTTTTGTAAAGCACTCTGCAGTGTTCGAGGATAAAAGGCTCTTATATGAAGTGTACAGTGTTGACAATGTATTTGTTTGAAGAGAAACAACGCAGCTTGAGATCCAAAGCTTTGTGTGTACAGCACTACTACTTCATTCATTTGGTTGCTTTCAAGCTTTTCTCATTTCAAGCTCCTTCAGCTGGCATAAATTCTTAAACACTTGTTTAGATTTGTTTGCTTGTCTATCGCTTACAAAGCGGATTTCTACTGTACAGAGCTGTGAAGCTTTGGAAATAAGCAACCCTGCAGAAATTGAGTTAAACCAACAATTTTTTTTTTATTAAAATGTTTTCCAAAAAAAGGCAGAATTTCTTACTCTAGAGCAGATACCCTGCTGTGACAGAAACAGCAAGAGGCAAACAAGAGGAAAGCAACAGGCCTTTGGAGCCAAACAGACCACGCTAACAGCTGAAATCCAGAGAACAATTCCCAATTCAAGTGAGGACTTTCTACTCTTAAAATAGCCATCTATTTGCCAAGTCCAACAGGCTAATTCTGAGTTTTGTTTAAAGAAGTGGCAGGGGTTTTTAAAAACGCCAGAGCACAGGGGAACATATATGCAGGAGCTGCCCACAGTGGGCAATCAGCACACCAAGTCAGAACTCCTGAAGCACAGGCTTCCATGGGTTTATTAGGTGCCTCCCTACCATGTAACGGCCTGATGAAGAGCCAGTACTTAGCTGTTCAAAATGCTGTATCACCTCACAGCAGAAGTACAGCTACATGAACCTCCCTTTAAAGAAAGCAGAGTTTAACCTTAAAAAGAAGGAAAGTGAAGGCTGAGTGGATAGCAAGCAGCATTCACTAGTTTTTGCACTAGACAGAAACATTTCTTTCACTTTTTGTCCATGTACAAAGGTGTTTCAGACAGACTTCTGCTGTATTACCGGTATGCCTTATTAGAATGGAAACATCTCTTTGTATTTGGATCTTACACAAGTTTGTTGAAACTTGCCTAATTACCAATAAAACAAAAGGGCAATTGGCAGTAACAGGAAGGCTCCCCAAGTTACTTCCCTCTTTTTTCTGTATCAAAAGGATGAAGGAATGTCACGTCAGCCCCTCCGCAAGGCTATCACCCAGAGCAACAATTTTAGTGACCGAGATCCTGTGTTACAGCTAGAGCTTGTTGAGACTTTCCTTTTATGTGGAAGAGACAGTGCTTTGGCTTCATAAAAGCTAGACGGATTTACCAGCATGGGAAACCTGGACTTCAGCCACAAGATAAGAAGGAATCCACATGGGAAGAAAATTACATTTGGCTGAATCCCAACCCAGATTCCTCTTTTAGAGTCACACTTGCAGTGACAGAACAGTTCTCTGGCCACTGCGGCTTGGGCACTTCACTCTCAAGAGCAACACAAAGCATACCCTTCATTTACTCAGCTGGAGTGTTGGAGACAGGTCCTTTTGCAGGGTCTCCGCACTGACAACCCAAACTGGTGGAAGACTCCACTCTAGAAGCTGGAACAAGGCTCACCTGAAGATAATGTTGCTGTGTGAACTGATGTTTTTCCCTCCATACATAGAAAGAATCCAGGAGGGGCGAGGCCTCACTCCCCACAGCCTGTAACACTCTTCTGAAAGTGCATCAAAGTCCCATTTCTGAGGCTCGAACATGTCATTGACACCATCTGTGCACATGGGCATCACCATCTCAGTGCATGCCTGAAAGAAAGAGCAGAGCAACAAGATGTATTCCCAGGATACTGTCCAATAGCTGTTAGTGCAGTATTTAAATAAGCTCAAACAGGATTTGATCAGCAATTACCATCAAACTATCATAGAATCCTTCAGGTTGGAAAAGACTTTTAAGACCATTGAGTCCAACTGCTAACCTAACACTGTCCAGCCTACCACTAAACCATGTCCCTCAGCACCACATCTACACATCTCAAATACCTCCAGGAATGGCGACTCAACCACTTCTCTGGGCAGCCTGGTCCAGTGATTGACAAGCCTTTTGGTGAAGAAATTCTTCCTAATGTCCAATCTAAACCTCCCCTGGTACAACTTGAGGCCGTTCCCTCTCATCCTATCGCTTGTTACCCGGGAGAAGAGACCGACTCCCACCTCACTACAACCTCCTTTCAGGCAGTTGCAGAGAGCAATGAGGTCTCCCCTCAGCCTCCTCTTCTCCAGACTAAACACCCCCAGTTCCCTCAGCCGCTCCTCATCAGACCTGTTCTCCAGACTCTTCACCAGCTTCGTTGCCCTTCTCTGGACATGCTCCAGCACCTCAATGTCTTTCTTGCAGTGAGGGGCCCAAAACTGCACACAGGATTCGAGGTGCAACCTCACCAGTGCTGAGTACAGGGGCACGATCACTTCCCTGGTCCTGCTGGCCACACTATTTCTGATACAGGCCAGGATGCTGTCGGCCTTCTTGGCCACCTGGGCACACTCACAGAGTTACAATTTAGAAAGGACAGAGCACATACCTGATAGTACCAACCCAATTGGCCCAGATTCTTTGTTGCAGTCTCAGACATGTCTAAGCATGAGGCTTCACCTGAATAATTGTAGTATAAATTTACTGCCTGAAAAACATTCTGCAGCAACGATTTGTCAGAGAGACTGGGATCCTTCAAGAACTTGCAGACTTCCTGCAACAAAGAGAAGAGGATGGTCTAAATCCGCAAGAAATAAAGATTAATACATGATACCTGATGGGATATCAATTTCTTTTCAATGTACAGTCAGACCACTTCCAGAAAGCATCTTTCTATGCAATGATACACCCTGAGCTTTATCATAAAAACACTGTTCCATTTGTGTAGTGAATGCTACTATGAAGAACCTGAAACTTTACATTTCCTCATTAAAACTTTAAAAACAGTGCAACCTTAGTATTTCGTTCACCATTTCCTGTTCTTTAAAATAGATAATAAAGTGTAATTAGCTCCTCTGTAATGAAAGATAACACATGCAAATATATAACAAAGAAGCTCCAGATATAGATTGGGGTTCCCTGCAATTTGCTGTAGTACAAATGGAAACATCCATGTAAGGAAAGTTCTAGTATTTTTAAGTCCTTTTATACAACAGCATTGCAAAATTCTTACTTCTTTGTGTTTGGAAAATACCAGATGGTGGAACAAGGCACTGTTTTGCTGGTGAAAAATTAAGAGCAATCTTGGATAGATTTTAATCCAAAATCTTAACTGAGGACACAAGTAGTTGAAAAAACCAAAACAAACTTCCAAGAAGTGCACTTACTATCCCTCCTTCCCTCCCCTGTATAATCTTTTTCCCTCATTTTCATTGTGGAAGCTAGGAAACTCATCCCTCCCTCATCCCCTACAGACAATGTCAGAGCACAGCTTTCACATTTTGCCATTCCAACGAGGTTTTACGGTCTGGCTAGTTCTGCCATCAGTTCTTAACTCAGCAGTTAGGGGCTTGGAAAGCTCACTAATTCGTGCAAACATGCACCGCAGGCAGAGAGCAGAGCAGGGGGCTACAGACAGCCCTGTATGTGACGCTCAGATTGCGTGGTAGAGAAAAAAAAATAAATCAGTATTTCTGAGAAAGTACTGGCAGCCCACAACAAAGAACAGACCAACCAACATACATATACATACATATACACACAGCTACTCAAACACATTTTCCCCCCTTTCTCACCCTCAGTGTCAGATTAGAGCTTCTGTTCCAGGAAGATTATCTGAACATCTTAACTCAGATTTCATACATCAGCATTGTCCAGACAAGCCACAGCCTTTTCTATTTTAGGTATATACCTCAATCAAACAGAGGGGTAGCATGGACAGTGGTTAAGGCGAGCACATTTCTTAGGTTGTATCAGATGGACAACAAAGAAGAAATAATTTTCAAGGTGTTCATACTGCCCTTTGCAGACAGCCACATAGGATGAATGTCCCACCCCTCCTCCATCTGGCAGCTCTACATAAGGGAAATTTTTTATTTTTTATTTAACTACTGTTTAATGATGACAAATACTAATATTTTATCTACCTTACCTGACACACACAGTAACCCAAAGCCATGCAGGATGTTCAGCCAGGGTCTTAAAAGAACAAAAACACTCCAAGAAAACAGAAATCTTGGAGAAAGAACTGCAGGCAAGCAGAACTACACAAGTGAAGGTTTTTAAGTGTGAAAAGTGGTTCTGCTTTGAGAATCGACCCTGCAAGGAATACATCTGTGGGGATCCAGACTTCCTCTCTTACTAGCTCTCCCACATCAAAAAGGACATAGGCTCAAAACTTTCTCTTTCAATTGCAAGCTCTGCCACCCAAGCCTGGCATCAGCAGCTCTAATTGCATGGGCTTTTTGTGCAGCATTTCTGCTCCTCAAGAACAAATCTGCAGGACAGCCAAGGTTTTCCAGTCATTCCTGGCACCTTTCTTCTTCTGGGCTCTTGATGCAACCTATTATCCCTACAAGTGGCAGTTAGTCAACAAACCAGCTGAAGAAGATACTGCCCTGGCTCTCTTTTCAACCATGTTGGTTCTACAGAGTGAAAAATAAAGGAAAAGGTGCAGGCTAGGAGAGAAGGAGAGAATTAGTTGAACCTAATGGTCAATTCCACAAGACATTGATTCTCAGTTACCTGTATAGGCCAGGCGGGCAGAGGCTGCAAGAAGTCAGCTTTATAGGGATAGTTCACCATAGCCAAGTTTACCCACGTTTCACTCAGCCAATTTTTCAATATAGCAGCATCCTGAGGATTTTTTAATGGGCTGCACAAATGAAATGTGCTGGAAAGCCACTGTAAACCTGCATCTTCAATCAAAAAATAAATAAAATCATGTTTAATGTATTGTATCATTAACACATAGGCCAGTTGTGCTGCTGCTAAAAAATATTTTCACTTAGCATGACTAATCTGGTGAAATTATTCCACATACGTACAAGCATAGCAGAACAAATTTTAGTCAGCACCTCTAAGTGAAGGGAAATACAATCTGCATACTTCAGTACACGGGTATGTCACAGCTAAGGTAACATTATCTGAAAAATCGGATATATTGACAAGACATTTGGCATTTTTTTGCTAGGAAGTAACATCAGGGCATGCTTCTTCCAGTGAAAGGAAAAACTTCAAACCAGCTAGATCATAGTGCAAGGGCTATTAATAGATAGATCTCTTGAGATGCTCCTGGCTTCCCCTATCATTATTTTATTTGGTCTAGAACTCATCCAATTCAGCTTCCTTAATTTTAATTAGCTAACTCATCATACCAGGCTTTCTCTTTAGGACACTGAACTGCAGCAGCAAGATTGTCTTTTTAAAACTGAGGTCACTGTACAGCAAAGGAATTCGGCAGATGTAGAATCATACAATCATTTAGGTTGGAAAATACTCTTAAGATCATTGCATCCAACACCGTCAAGTCCACAACTAAACCATGTCCCTATGTGCCACACCTATACATCTTAAGTACCTCCAGGGACGGTGACTCAACCACTTCCCTGGGCAGCCTGTTCCAGTGCTTGACAACCCTTTCAGTGAAGAAATTTTTCCTAATATCCAACCTAAACCTCCCCTGGTGCAACTTGAGGCCATCTCCTCTCATCCTATCACTTGTTACCTGGGAGAAGAGACCGACCCTCACCTCACTACAACCTCCTCTCAGGCAGTTGTAGCACCATAGAATCATTTAGGTTGGAAAAGACCCGTAAGATCAAGTCCAGCTGACTCCCTAGCTCTGAATCCATAAGGACTGCAGTGATTTCCTATACCAAATTGCCTTAGTTGGTTTTAAACTTTTTTTTTTTTTTAAGAGTAATGACTGTCTGGCCTACTTTGTCAGAAAAGAACACAAGCCTTGAGGTTCTGATCTGGAGTCAGCTCCCGTCTGACCTTAGGGATGTTTGGACCTGGACTCTGAATCACACCAGGCTTGAATGAAACTTGTGATCCAACCAAACAGACTTTTAAAAAAAATAATGCTAAGCTCATTGGCAATTTTCAGAACTAAGAGTAGAGTTTCAAAAAAACCAGTACATACACAGGTGGAAGCCATAACACAAGCTCACTGATTTTTATGAAGTCAACACCATCCTGAACATTACCACCCTTTGAAAGAGTATTGTTGAGGTCTTACCTGTCGAGGAAAGGTGGTTAATGGCATTCCAGGAATTCCGGATGCTTTCTGAACAGCCTCTCCCACCCTTTTTGAAATCATTGGTCACTATGCTGAAGTAAGTGCCACACGGAACCAAATCACCGAACTGCCAGATTGGGGCAGAGGCTGCCAGAGCTCTGCAAAAGGACATAAGAAGATGCTGAACCCCTGCGAAGTAGTCTCTGCTCAACACCCTCCCCATAGCTAAGCAGCACTTATAATTCAGCTTGGATACTGAACCCTAGGCAAACTAGCCATAGTGTTGCAAAACTATTACATAGGTCTGCGTGCAAACGGTGTTGAAGGTTTTAAGTCTTGGACACTCATACAAAGATATCAGTAAATACATAAAGTAGAAATTCAGCCTTGCCTACTTTTATTATTTTTCATTCTCATCTAGCAACTATGTCCTCCTCACGAGGCATTGTGCCAACTCAACTGAAGAGAGCCCCTGCCCACAAAAATCTACTCTCTAGCAAAGGTAGGGGAATTTGTACTCTTGTTTCCCAGAGGGGAACTAAGGCACTGGAAGAGATTAAAGACCTGCCTCAAGTCACCAGAAAGTCTGATGACCCTAAAAATAATGAGATGTAAAGTCAATGTTCATAATAATTGCTTTTACAAAACTAACAGGTGGCTCTGAAGATATACACCATTCAGTACCTGCTGACCTACAGCTGTCTTTATTAGGCAAACAGTGCCTCTTCCCAAATTCAAGATAACTTAATTCCTCCTCTCAATAGTGAACAATTCAAGCCAGCTTCAATTACGGTGCTTCTCTCAGTGCTGTAATACTTATAGCAGAGAAGTAACAAATGCCTGCTCCGTGTTTGAGCAGGATGAGTACACTCACCCAACTACCACATGGGGGTACTTCATCCTAAACCAGGCTGCAAGCATTCCTCCGTAAGATCCTCCTATCGCTATGACAGGACTGTAACGGGCTCCTGCAATGGTTGTCTTTAAGTACTCAATTAGTACCGCGAAGTCTGCCAGAGCTTGTTCTGATGTCAGGTAGTTCAGATGCTTGGAATCCTGAGACAAAGCAAGCAGGTTATACAGAGCATGGGAGTGACTTCTAGCAGCAGCCTTTCTATTCCCCACAGCCGCTGCAGAGCTCTAAATCTGTGCCTGAGAACAAACGAAATATTTCCAAGTGTTCCTTGAAGTGCTAGAAAATATCAGGGGTTTTTTTATCCTAGAATTGACAGTTACAAAAATAGGATAGTTGTGTGCTTCTAGCACACTTAAATCTTACTCAGGCCAACAGTCATTGCACTGGCAAGAATTACAATAGGCGGAAATATGTTTGTACAGAACACATTTAAGGAAGACAAAAGACAACACTTACACTGAAAGACTCATTCCCAAAGGGCAAAGATTCTCCATAATATCTATGTTCAGCAAATACTAACATGGCATTAAGCTCTTCAGCCACATCCCACATAAAACCCTGGTTGGAGGAAAAGAGACATTTAAATAAGTTGAATCAATTATTTTCAAAGTCTCTGCTTTCAGCCTAGGGTTTTCCAATTCTTACTCTTTGATTAGAAAGATATCACCACCAAAATACAACTAGAAAGACAGAGTGCAATTTGGTTTTAAAGTATCACTGAAGTAAAAAACCCACAGGGAACAGATATCCACCCAGAGACAGGGACACATACAAAGAAAATAAATGCTGAAAAATATTAAGCAGCATTGTTTTGTGAGTACACACAGGCAATCCTGCCAGAACTCCTATGGCATGAGCTTAATCCATAGAAAATAAAAAACACTACAGGAGGAAAGCATGCAGATGAGTTAGGACTACAACATTTGTTTGGCAATAAGCAATAATCTAGAGCATTGCAATACACTTATTTTCAACTACAACATGTTATTGCTTGTTGACAGTAGCTTGTTACCACCAGTTATGGAAACAGGCAGGCAGAGATCACCTGCTGACAGAACCAAGTGTGTAAGCAGTCCTTGGTTGCTTTGAGCTCAGCACACACCACCTCCTGTTGTGTTACTGGACTTCACATTAAAGTGGCTGAAAAATACCCACACACCCCATTCTGCATTTGTATCAGTCAGGGAAGTAGAAACTTCCCCAGGTCTTGTCAGGGAACAAGAACCATCTATCTTTGATTTCCAGTCCCCTTCACTTTGCTTCATATTTTTCTTATAGAGGTAAAAAACCCTATCAAAACCTCCCATTTCACTTGAGGAATCTGAAGCACTAGGATAGGTGTAATTTGGTCTAAAATTTTGCATTCTAAGTTTGAGACACCTTATAGTGTTTCCTCCAGAAACTTTCTTCACTACCTCAGGAAGTTAATGCAAGTGCATCCTTTTGATTTCTAGGAGCTTCAAACAGGACCCTGAACCTCCCAAAACTTTTTCTGTGCTTTTGTTCAGCTTCCTCTTCCTCCTATAGCAATCACAACGACCATTACAAACTTCTCTTTAAGCGATATTCTGACACTGTCTCCTTGTTCTTCCTTATTGTTTCAGTACACCACTACTGGAAAGGGCTGTAACTCAAGATTCAAGAATCAATTTTCTACATACCGTGTTGTTGCAGAACCACGTGATGTCTCCTTCATTGCCTGTATAAAATAGTATTGGCCCATTGTCTTTCTTCCAGTGCTGATCTGCTACTAGATACCGCTGCTGGAATGTAAGATTTTCATCAAATCCAAAGTGATCAATCTGTAAGAACAAGGAACAACAACATGTTCAGAAAGCTAAAATTGATCCTGGAGTCCACTGGAAGTGCTGACAGTCACTTTGCAAGTGAAAATGAAAGAAAAGCAAAAAAGTTTTACTAAGATTAAAAAAATATGGCATTGAATTGATTTATATTCCAAATACATCAAAACTCTTCTGCTTTACAAAGGAAACCAGTGAAAATTACAAGTGTATATGTTGAAGAAGAAATATAGTGGTTTTTTAATAGCTGAAAAAATCCATACCCTTTTTATAGTATCATACTCAACATGAGATATTCTAAATAGATATTTAGGAAATCAGGCAAATCTGCTGAGAGTTCACAAAGTATCTGATATAATAAAACTGTATCAACAAGCAGAACCAGTCACTGTCCTGCAGTCTTTTGAGTCTTAAGAAAATTTCTTACTAGCCTAATTTGGTTAAAAAAACAAAAAAACCCACACCCAACATCTCTTCCTTCTCTCCTTTTGGCATAAGATTGAAATTTAAACAGTTTGGGTTTTTTTTTTTTTAATTCTTAGAAACTATTGAAATTTAAACAGTTTGGGTTTTTTTTTTAATTCTTAGAAACCAGTAATTCTCTGTAGTTGTTGTGCTACTGACACATATTTCCGACAGTTTTATGGCATGCTTCTTCTCTCCTTGCAATTCTCACTACTGCCCATGCCCTCCCCAATTCTTTTCACTGCCCTACGAATGTTGCAAGTCTACACATACCACTTAACCCAAACCCCACAGTGTTGGCTTTATTCCCTCATTAGAAATTCAATTTCAATTCCTAAAGTCAGTTTTTCAGCTTTTATTCACACTGTTTTGTATGCACTATTTCCCTTGATCCTTCCCCAAGCATTCATCCACACTGGAAAGTTTACAGATTGCTTTCACAAGGTAACTCCCTGCATGGGTATAATCTTATTCTGGAATACCCATGCAGGCTTCTATTATGAAAAAAAATTTAAAAAAAGAAAGCAAAACACAAAACTGCTCCAGAAGAGCTATGCCGCTTAATTATCATGTATTCACAAATCATCACTACTTATTCATCAGTTGAAGATGACCTGTAGCTTCCCAGTTTTGACTTCTGTCAGCACAAAGCATCATCTTTTCCTTTCATCGGTTCTTGCTGGCGGTAACAGCCTGACATCTGCTGGCTCGAGCATCTCTGCTCACCCATCTGCCTTTACACCGGTAACCGACAAACTCTCAGATGCTCCAGGAACCAACCTTTCACATTTCCTGCTTTGAGAACATCTGCAAATTAATGCTAAAAAGGCAGCAAGTCGTACACAAATCCAAGCACTCCCTGCTAATGCAGTGACCTGACTGCTAGGCAGATTCCTCCAGGCAGCTCAGGGAAGCCTAACTCTTGACCCGCAGGATCCAGCTACTCCACACCATGTACTTACACGTGCTCTGGGTCAAAGAGAGTGCAGGAACTTATTGAATAGGTACAATCTGCCGCAAAGTGTCTTTTCCAAACTCTCCCAAAGCTTACTCAACTCACGGACTGAAGGGAGAGTACAGCTGTGTTGCAGCTCACTGCTTGCAGAACAGCAGGAGCAGTTGAAGGTCTGTGCATGGTCTTGGCAGACAGAAGAGACAAGGTCTTCACCCTAAGTTAACTTCAGTGACTGCTTCCAGACCCAAATAAAACTAATTTATGTATGTTATAGAGTTTTGCTCAGTGGAACTGTTTACTACTTACACATAAGTACATAGTGATATTATCATGCACGTATTGAAGGGCTCTTTCACTGAATTCGGGTGCTGACAACATATGTTGGGCTTCTTTTACACTGACAACTCATCTGCTTCTTTTCCATCTGCACAGTCACTATTAATTTTAGTTTCACTTTCTACATCAAGCATAAGAGTGATTTAGTGATTACATGCAGAAAACCAGAACAAGGTCAGCAACTGAGAAAGTCTTTGGTCACAAGACCTTGGGACACTTAAAGAGAAAGATTAGATAAGGAACATCTAATAAAAATCACAGTACAGTTTAATAAACTCCAACACTATTAGAAAGTACAACTGATACATCTTTTGTTCCAGGTCTGTTTGTAAAGGGGAGAAGCATCTTTTTCTATTTAACTTTTCTAGTTAGGCTGCCAGCCAGAGATCGGAAAAAAATAGGCTCAGGTGTCCTGTCTGCCTTTTATGGAATCACCTAAAATTAAACATTTAGCTTTAAAACTTGATTCTGCATCCTTCCTGCCTGAAGCCACAGTGCCAACTACAAGACTACACCACAAAAAGCATTCAACTTTCCTGAACTACAAAGGTATGTACCAAAATCTTCCCAGTGCAGGCAGCTTAATATGCAACAAGCAAAAACATACAGTAGAGGGGGAAAAAAAATCAGAATAGTTTAACGGATAAGCACCCTGTTAGTACCAGGCTGAGGTTATTCAATGAGGTATTGCACAGAACAGATTCTAAAGCCCAACTTACTGTTCCTATTCCACAGGAGCTGGAAAATTAGAATAGTAATATTCCAATACGAATATATTTTCCTAAATGATGGCTGGTTTTCTTTAGAAAAAGATGACATCTTTAGTAGATGTCAGTCTGCTCCCACAAAACAAACCCCAAAATCTCAGTGCTCTAATGACTCTGCCTCTCAATACCAAGAGGGAGAAAGTACAGGAACTTCAGTTTTCTTTCACCAGTTTTAGTAACCACACTCCATCTTGACGCTGAGCCATGCTGTAGACTCTCTCATTGCCATCAGTCACATTGTTCTTTCCCATTCCGCCCTCAATCTGTTAAATTTTGATAGCCTCACAGCAGCAAAACTGCCTCTGTTGGTCATATCCTTAACACATCAAACCATGGACAAGGGTAAGATCCCAGGCAGACGACACAAGTCCAGACTTCTCCAGAAAAAAAATAATGACAGGTACCTACTACTCAACTGAAGAGCAGGAACTCCTTTATTGCTAGATAATGAGGCTTCATACCTTGTAGTAGCTTGTCTTTGCAAGGGTAAGACACATAAATGACTAAAAAACCATTAATGTTCATAAAGCAGACAGAGAAAAAGGTGTCACAAGTGCTGGTTATTACCAAGAAAGTCAAAGAAATTCTGAATCCAGACCATCAAGACACAGTTTGGAGATGTCCCAAGGAGTGTCTCCTCACAAGAGTAAAAATTGTCTGGAAATGTACTAAGTCAGAGGGAAGAAGCACAAGAATCAATATAAAACTGTGAAGGGAAAGGTTTGGACACAAAGGGAAAGCTCTAGCTCATGAACAGCAGATGGAGCTCTCGTGTAGCCAAATGCGCTGCAGGAACATGCAGGGCTGCCCACGGGAGCTGCTGGTTCTCATTCAACGAGTGCTTTCCTTCACAGAACAGGTACGTCAACAAGGAATAAACCCCACGAACTGTGTGAAGTACACTTTATAACTCAGATTACTTCTTTTTTTTTAGCTTTTTTCCCTAAGTCAGATTTCATTAAAAAGTTGAACCAGAAATTTCTTTTCCCCTCTTACACAAAGGAAGTTAGACAAAAGCAATGACTTTTGCAACCAGGCTTAATTAGAATACATCACAACAGCAAAAGAAAAAAGCAGTTTAGTACACATTTACAACACCTTCACTGTTGGTTAAAAGTAACAACGGTACAGCTATACGGGTATATATGGGGGTTTTCTAACTACAGTTTTCATAATTACAATCATGGATGTCAGGAGTACAAGGTCCTGAGCAATCTAACACAGCTTTGCAATTGGCCCTGCTTTGAGCGGGACCAGATGACGGGCAGAGCTCCCTTCCAAAACTAAACTATTCTAGGATTAATCCAAACAAGTTACACAGCCTGAAGTTTTAAGCCTCTGTAAACAGGACTACCCAGCAAGTCTGGTTAGAAATAAGAACACAGTCATCATCAGCAACACAACAGCAATGTTTTAGGAATGAAAGTACGATGTACATAAAACACACACAGAAACAGTTGTTCTGGTACTAATAAAAGGAAAGATAAAAATAGAAAAAGGAGTATCACAAGTAATAGGTTAGTAGCGAGTTTAAGGGAAACTTTTGTCAGCAGAGGTAGGCAAGATGGGATTACTCTAGAGAGGTACAGCTGTAAGGCAAAGAAAGCGAGCAATAAAATTTCAGTTCCATGTACAAAAATCTTCATGAACCACATTTGATTAAAAAAAGGAATTGTTATATATTTTCCTGCACATCTTTGAGTCCAAAGACTCACAAAGCGCTTTGGGAAAACACAAACATACGCACAACAGATTGTTGAAGAGGCAACAAGCTTCAGACGGAAGACTGCAGCCACAACCCAAGTCACGGCTGCCAAGAACTGTACTCACAGAGTTTGATTAAAAATGGCAGTAGGCAGCACGGGACACTGTGCCCAAGAGCCTGATGAGAGATCAGACTGAAGGCTCAAGCCAGCAGCTTTCATCCTTTAGCTCAGAAAACCTTTCTACAGTGAAGAGCAGCTTGCTGGCTCAGGATGAGGAGCCTTCTCCAGAGCAGTGTACTGAACAAACCCACACTGGGAGGAAGGGCCAAAACCCACCTGGCTGCCTTCTGCTTGAAATACACGGCACTTTACGGTACATGTGCACACGTGTCATGTGCTTTTGTTGAGCTCTCCGAGATGACTTATCTCAGGGTGGGGGTTTTTAATGTGCTTTTTTGTGGGTTTGAAAGTTCATTTAAAATGAAACAAGCTGCTCTGCCACACATCTCCCCTGAGGAGGAGACAAAAAAGGCACAACAGATGTTAGTTATTGTATAGAGGTTAGCCTGCTTAATATACTCCTGGAAGTATTCAGGAACTATGGTGATGAGTAAAGTACAAAGACAAAACAGGACATGTGGGCTGAAACTCGCTTCCTTCTCAGCAGCACCTTAAGGTCATTAGCAATTACAGAGACAGGCCAGCAAACCCAAGCCTTGACCAAAAAAAGACTATCATTCACAGGGTAGCTTCTAATCAAAATGTCATTTGAGGCAGTAAATCAGCATCTGATGATTTCACGCTTTTGAGCTTCTGGCAAGACTGTGTCTGGAAGCCTTTCTGTCATGCCTTGAATTTCAATCCTCTATGCAATAACTTCATTTTACCAAACTTGGATATTCCACATGAAACCAAGTTTGTAGTTTTACTGGCGAGAAGCCAGGGGATTTTAAGAGTCACGCTCCACCCTCCACACGTTCATGGAGTTGTTTTGAGTGCTCATCCTGTCTGAATTATTTCCTGAGGACAGGAAGATACAGGATCGTCTGAGGATATCCTCCTGCATGAACTGCAGTGTGGGCACTGGCCTCTTTGGGATTTCACTGTTGTGTTTCTATTCCGGGTTTTACTCCTGACAGGCTGTGGGACTCCAGCCCAGTTAGCTGGCCCTATTAGTTTTGTTTCCTCTTACAATCTGCTTCTTCCTTTAAGTTGCAAGTTCATGAGGGCAAGGACTGCCTGGACATCTTTGCACAGCATCCTATTCGAGGGAGGCCCAAATTTTGTTACAAGTACTGCTACATATAATTAAACATTCAAGCTCATAAAAACCATTGCAGCAGGAGAGTACCACTAAAAAAAAATACATACAAAGTCACACACTATTTAGGTCTTCCTAGCAGGAGAGACACTGAACCAGAAATGAAAGCTAAATAAAAAAAGTTTTTTAAAAAAGTCTCCCACCCTGACACTATTCTTGTTTCTTTGCTTCCTCCTATTGCACATTTACATGTATCATAGCCTTACAGGACCAAGGCTTCATCTCACTGACAGCTGGTAAGATTCTCTCAGTTTGCCCCTGCTCATTTATTGCAGAAGAAAAGAAAAAAAAAAGACAAGAAAATCAAGGTTAGCTTTGTTTCATCTTTTCCATTTCAAATGCGAGGAATGAGGCGTTTCCTTGCTTTCGAGGTTGATACTTGTGCAAGGGACAGCAGAGATGGAAGATTAGCACCAATCTGTTGAAATGCATAATCATTTGATGCTCTGTGGAAGAGCAGGGAGATGGAAACTGCACCTTCTTGCATCAGGCTGTGTCAATGCACTAACTTGAAAGTCCTACATGTAAATAACATCAGAAAATTGGAAAAGATGGACTCTGTCATTGTAATCTTCCACACTCCCCATAATTCAGGGGTTTTATCCACTAGATTTAATTTTATTTCATTAATCTGTCACAATTAACAAAACACACAGGCATAACAATATATATGCTTTTCACCTATGAATTGATTCCAACTTCTACCCAACTAACAACGGTCTAGAGCAACTGCTACCAATTTTTCATTGGTTAGAATTAGCTTTCAGCCAAACATGCTCCCCAAAACAAACGCAGGCTTAAGATCCTTGTAATAGAGGGATCTCTTCCATTGAGACTATGTCCTTGTGAACACACTGGCCTTTGACTAGAATCATTTTACTGAAGCTTCTTTTGTGCAGCAGAAACCATGTCACCTACCCTTGGGAAGTGGCAACTGTTTGAGTAAGTCTGCTTTTGGCACTCATTTATCACTTTAGTGATCAAAAAGCACTGACAAGGAAAACCTCAGACAGGAACTCTACCCCTGCATTGAGTCACACAGTTTGGACAAGGCACTTGAAAAGACCAAAGAACATTTAAACAGATACAGGATATACTGTAGGAAAGCACCACGCTACTCAGGTCAGCCCTTGTTAGAAACAAACAGTTCCCAAACAGTATACGATGAAACGTTATTTTTATGTTGGAAACCTAAGCAGCTAATGAGAACATAAACAAGTTGGTTTCAACTTCCACAAACCATTAGTAGTTTTGTGCTGCAATTGAAACTCCAGATGCTGCTTACCGTATAAAAATTAATCCCATGAGCACATTTAGGCTCTAGTTACTTAGGCGTAAAATCCTCCAGCAGTCACAGTGAAGCTACAACTCCTTGTTAAAACTCCTCCAGTTGGAAAGACAGTCTGAGAGGTCCCACAGGCCCTCCCAACATTTCCTGATTCAGACTCGAGGGTCACAAAGCTCCAGCACAAGGGAAAGAATGGGTGACCAAAGCAGGAGATGGCAGGAATCACTTCAATTACCCTTACTGCTGACACTCCTTAACCACGCTCTCCATTCCCCTGCCACTCTGTTCTCCTCCAAGCAATGGAGAGGTTCGTGCTGCTGAGAACCAATCAGCTATATAAATTTATAACAAACCACTATGGTGATAAACACACCAAACTTTCACATCATTGATGCTTCCATTCAAGGCATTATGATCCTGGTGAAATTCTTCCACAGGTCAAGGCATTGGGAACAACAAGGTCAAAGCTGTATTACCCAAAGACCGTTATTTCATAAGGCTGAAATAAGCCCAAAGACCAGCAGAAACAAAGTTACCCTTGCAAAAGGTCTCTCAGACCCTTAACAGGCAAAGGCCTGTCATTTTTTCCATCAGCCTTCCAGATTGAATTACAAATCCATCACATTTGGAGGATTAACTTCAGAGGAGAGGGGAAAAAAAAAAAAAATAAGACCTAAACCTTCAGTATGTCACAGATTAAGCAGTATAAAAATATATTCCAGTTTTGCTGAGACCATCCTAAAGTTTAGAGTAGGACCAATTGTTTAAACAAAAGACTTTACAAAGTAAGTTTGGTCTTCTCTGATCAAAATGGTTTTCATCTGAACAGCTTCCTCAGTCTTTGGTTTAAGCAAAGACATGGGGAAGAACAGCATTTCAGATTCAAGACAGTATTTGATTTAGTCAAATTAAAATTTAACATACCTTTACCTCTCC